TCATGCCACTACTTTTCGTCTCCTAGGTGTCCTCTTCTGCTCCCTTGCCTTCGGTATCGCAGCAAATGCTGCGAAGGAGAAGGGCGAGCCCTTCAAGCACTTCTTCGCTTCCCTCGGTGAAATCGTCATGCTGTTGATGCAGAAGTTCCTTCTGTGAGTTGCATTTGTGCATACCACCTTCAGGCGGCGTGCACGTGTGAGGCGTGTGCTTGGCATGGTCAGTAGGCAATGTCTCCTCAGTAGAGAGGTAGGCGTCTTGAACCTTAGGCTGCCCCCTGACAAGCGTTAGTGTTGTGGTAATTCTTGCACCCATTATCAATTCTTATTTGCATTTCGCCTAAATGCAAATGAGGTTGTGATTTAGAAGGGACCATGACATTGAGGTAGGAGGCCTGAAGGAAAGACTACTTTTCCTAACAGGATAACGCCTGTCGGTGTCATGTTCATGGTGATGAGCTCGATTGCAGAGGTGGATGACATTGCCAACACCTTCATCTCCCTCGGCTTCTTCGTCCTCCTCAACTTTGTGGGTCAACTCACCCACTTCATCTTCCTCCTCCTCAGCCTTGTTGTGCTCTGCAAGAATCCCTTCACCATTCTCAAATACTCCTTTCCAAGCTACTTCATTGCATTCGCCACAACAAGCGCGTGAGTTGGTCCTGCGAGTCGAGGTGTACCTTCCTTGCAATTGCACCGTCTCTTGCATTTCTCTTTCCTTTACCCATTCGCAGTGTGGTCTGCTTACCGAAGGCCTTCATTGCCTGTGACAAATACGGCATTCCTCAACGCATCTCCCGATTTGTGCTGCCGTTTGCTGGAACTATGAAAAGTGACGCGTCGGCCGTCTTCATTGCGGCCTCGTGTTTGTTCGTCGCTCAACAGGCAAACGTTGAGCTTGATGCTGGCAAAGTTGTCATCGTGATGTGAGTCGCATCACAACAGCTGCCCATTCTGCTTCCTCCTTCATGTATCGCTTAACCTCCAACCCATGTGACGCATTTTCCTTCTTCTAGCATTCTCGCCTTCGCCTACGTGACTGCATTGCCCAATATTCCGAGTGCCAGTGTGGTGGCTGTGGTGACTATTCTAGGATCCATTGGTGTGGATGAGAAGGGCGCATCTCTGCTCTATGCCGTTGAGTTCATCAAGTACGTCCCCATTGCCGTGCATTCTCACCTTAAGTAGGCGATCACCCGTTGGCGTTTGCGTTGCATATCTGTCTCTATTTCTTCTTCGTCTCTAGTGATCGGCTTAGGTCGGGAAATATTGCTCTTTCGCACATTTACTGCGCCGCATTCACCTACCACGCAACGGCGAATGATGTGGTAGAGGAAGAAGGTGAAGGAGATCTGGAAGCGTATGAATGG